CTGGCTCCCTCAGCTGCTCCGTTTTTATTCCAGTTTTCCATTCCACTTCAGTACTTGTCCTTTGTGTTCCCAAACACTTTTATCCCAAATTTGCCTTTTTAGGTTTCTCGCATGATCTCCTTCTCAAATCAGTCCTCAAATGATGGGTCACCATTCCTGCATACACCCCAGGCTCCATATCCGTAGTTTGAAGCCTTTCTCCATAGCTCTTCTACAGCATCTGAAACCCTTGTCTTCTCCCTTCTGATGCCTGAAGTCACCCGCAGCATCACTGCAAATCCAGTTTCTCTCGTCAGTTAAGGTGCACAGACTTGATTAAGCCTTCGTTAGCCCCTGACTGTTAATGCATAAAGCCTTCAGGAAACATCATTATTAAAAATTTGCAGCTGACTAATTAAAAAAAAAAGAAAAAAACCAATGAGGGTGACAAGAAGAGCACCAACACCAAAGTCAGCACCAAACACGAAGCCTCTGCTCCCAGCACAGCACGGCTAGATGGCCTCGTGCCGCGGCGCTGCGCACAAGGGCTTCCGTTCGCTGGCGCTGCGCTCCGAAACGATAAACACAGAACTCTGTTTGTTCTACCCTGGGGAGAGCAGAAAGGTGACAAACGAGTGGGGAGGGGAACCACACAGAATTAACACGAACCTCTAAAGCAACTACCAAGTACAGCAAGTTTTGGTGGAAGCGGGTGGAACTGTGCGGTTCCGAGCAGCGTCAGGCAAGACAATTAATTAGCAGTGCTGTCACCCCATGGCGTGGCAGGCGCCAGCCGGACCAAAAAGCAGTTTCCATTTTCCAATCAGCTCAAGCCAGAACTTTTCTTCTGCTTTGAACCTCCCCCCATTGTACGTGCCATCACAGAATGGCGTGCCGTTTCCATTTGCCAGCAGAATTCGGAACACTGCAATTCCGACTTCTACGTGGCAGGCTGAGCGGTCCTTCGGAAACTCCTCCAGATGATACAAAGCACACCACCTGCGAATTCGGGCACCCAGGTGAGATGCTCCAATGCTCACCCGCCTCGTCTCTGCGGTACTGGGAAATGGCACGTCTTGGCACTAACGGGTATTCTCGCTCGGAGGCCACCAACAAGGAGCACCCACCTGCCAAAACCCACCCCCGCCCACTATGACACCTCTCCCAGTCACCAGCACGTTTTGACCAAGATTTACAGCCTGAATTAAAGGAGGTTTCCTCTGTAAGCTCCTGCAAATTACTTCTGTTCTGAAAACTGTGACCTGTGGGAATTAGAAAAGGTAACAGCACTACTTAAAAATAAAATATCACAAGGCTGGGTGATTTTTCAGTGACATACTTTGGTCTCAGTGGAGCATTAAATAAAATTTCTATGTCAGTCTGAAGAGCACACCGTGATGC